CGGATGGAGGGAGTACGGCGTAACATTTTCATTGCATAGTGTTAAGCTAGTCTCCAACCAATACTATGGCACAAACAATATCTAATCATCCGATAAATATATTTCTAGCATCCACCAAATGTACACATAAACAAAGCTTTGATCTTTTTTTTTGCCCATAAGTCAATAAGTTGCTTGGAACACCCCATTTTGCTAAGCCAAAACCAATTAACTTAAAGATGATTTCACAATTACTACTTCATCAAGCGTACTGTCAAAAACAATAACAAAAACTGACCTTCATCCTCTTCATTTTCAGGCAAAGGAAAATCCAGCCAAGTCTCTGGATGCATGGCAATGTCCCTTGCAAATGCCACCACCTCCTCAGTAACTCCGACCGCACCTTTTGTGAAACCGCCATCCTCCTCTTCATCATCCGACCCCAGCTGCAGAATATTCGAAGCTATTTTCGTGATCTCTGACACAGCCATGTTGCTTGATAGCTTATATATGCCACTTCGGAACTTCCCACCGAGCTCTGCGAAGTCATTCCTGATCCCAGCCGGTCCCACGGCTTCGGATCCTCCAGTATCCGCTTCCGATTCCCGGTCAGTGTCCGGTTGGGATTCATTAGGCGACTCGGATTGCGGCGGCGGTGCTAGAAACGATGCAACGCCCCAAAATTGCCGGCTTAGGGTTTTGGTGATCTCAGAAAGATCCTCTCGGACACCGCGTGACGGAGATGAAGGAGGCGAAGGATCATCCGATTGTGTCCGATTCTGCATCGATTCTTCTTTTGAAGTATCACTGGAGTGACCACGCATGGAAGCAGAAATACTGTCGCTTTCTTCTTCTCCGTCATCGTCGTCATTAAGTTTGAGAGAGTTGGCAATCGATCGAGCCAACCATGACATTGTGTAATGGTCGGAGACAAAGTGACCGGAAAGCTTAGAGATCGCCGGCGGTGACCGCTATACTGTCGGAGAGGAGAAATCTGAGGGATGAAGAGATCGGAGGGGATAAGAAAAAAAAAGTCTGATTTTCTATCGCCAATACCGGTATAACACTCCTCAATTAAACGACGTCGCTTTCTTGTTATGAGGAAATCTGATCACATGCACAGATACTTGATTGGCCCACACCGAAACGGGCCTGCACTTTTTGTTTTGGGCCAGGCTCATAACAGACAAGACTCAGAAACCTGAGGGTTGCATTCAGGCTTTATGTTCAAGCCCAAAAGCTAGGACACATATTAATGATTCCTAAATTAAAATCGTAACAATGCCACATGCAAAACACATTCCATGTATTGATCGTTACTTTGATAGTAGCAAAAATTTTGTAAATAAGACAAATTTTAATCTTAAACATTCTCAAATTATTTAAAAAGTGTTTTAAATGTGGTCGTGGCAATCATAAATCATACAATATTTCTTATCGTTGATTGCTCTTTGTGCAACCAAGTACAGAAATCACGACCAACTACCTGTCATTTCCCGACAAACAAAACCATAAGCTAGGGGTGTTCAAAAATATCCGATTCGAAATATCCGTCCACGATCCGAGCAGATCCGATCCGAAAAATGAATATCCGATCCGATATTTTGGCTTTCTGATATTTCGGATCGGATACCTGAGAAAATTCGGATCGGATATGGATTCAATTTCCGGAATTTTTCGGATAATCGGATATTCGATTTTTTTGCTATATGTTTAATGGAATTTTATGGATATACATTATGACTATATGTTTAATGCAATTTTATGTTGATTTTGGAACTCAAGCATTTTGGACTTTTTGCAATAGCATTTTGGAAATTTTTGTTTTTAGTAGTGCTTTTTTTGGTTTGTTTAGGCAAAATTACCAAAGTTACTCCCAAATTGAATTTGGTATCATTTTTTATTAGGCCATTACATAGTGGTGGAATTTTGCTTTTAGTAAATATATATTGAATTTGATATTGTGGGTTGATTTTGCTATTTTACCCTTACTAGTATCACACCCGTGCGTTGCACGGGTCATAGTTACGGTACTAACTTAAGATCATTTTTAAGAATATAAATTGGTATATAGTGGAATATAGAGATTTCATTATTTTAAAGTACAAAAGTAAAATGATTTACAAATTTCGAAAGACTTATTTATAAACTACATCACTCGTATGTATAATTTGTGTGAGTATTCACTTCGTTGTATATCAGAATCTTCAAGCCATTGCGATTTATTACTCTTTAAACTGCAACATACACTTTCTCATGACTAAATACCAGTTTCCGTAACAATAATTCAATATGTTTCAGATATTGTTTTTGATAATAATTCAATAATTTGACTTATCTAAACAATAATTCAACATATTAATGTATTTATTTTGGAATTTGTACTTTTTAATTTTATTTTCGTATTTAAGTGGTACCATTAACTTACCCTATGATATTTATTTTCTATTTTATTTTAGATCACTTACCATTTTTACACGTATCCATGCTTGTAAATTATAGTATTAATAGTATTTATTTTAGAATACTTATACCATTGTTACATGTTTCCATGCTTATAGTATTAATAGTATTAATTTATAATTTTTTAATTTTTGCATTTAAAT